TKGRAAAAAARSMAAWWAAAMSRAAAAAATAACAAAATAAAGACGCAATCTCAAACAACAAAAGGAAAAACSTCCAGAAGATTTCTGACGTAGTTAAGTGAAGGGGTATAACCCCAAGGGAAAAAAATTGCCTTTTTGCAATCTTTGTATTGCTTGCGCGATCCGGGTTGTTTTGCGCTTACTGTCAATTATAAAACGAAGTAAACAAAATTTGTAAAAATGCGAAATTTGTCAAGTACTTTTGTATTTAAAAAGATATTTTAACCATTCATTCGCAATTTTTCTCAAAATTTCACCTTCTCGTCCTCTTGCAATAGAGATCGATTTCTGTCAAATGAACGGCTTTTTATGATCCATCCATTACAGATTTCGTACTGAACAGGTTTCGTTTCGTTGTATATTTTACAGTAAGCCGGGAAAGAACCTGAAATGAAAAAAGGCWATTTCTTTGCACTTGGGGTTATATCCCTCAACTGTTACGTGCACTGAAACTTTTGAATGCTTCTTCATTTTATTTATGTAAGATTGCCTCTCTGTTTTGTTATTTCCTTCGTTTTATTTTGTTTTTGTTTTTTTCCCATCGTATTTATGTAGCAGGGTTCGTTCGTACTTTCTTGTAAGCCTTGTTTTGCAATATTGCAGATCGTTGGTGTCCAGTTTAAGTATGAAGACCCAAAAGACATAAAATATCAGGTAAGGAGGCGAACTCAAATTAGTACCCACCAAACTATAGACCACTTTCATTAGTGTCTGCCACAACTCCAGCATTCTAATTGGCTATTGAAACATGCTCTATTCATGATAGAGCATGGTCGTTGTCTAATTATTAAATATCATGATAAGATATCGTGATAGGATTCGCCGTCAATTGAACTATTTCATTATGACGTCACAGTATGTTTACAGCAGAAAACGATGCTCAAAAACAGTCGAACTTCAATTCGTCTTGTTTTGATTGACGTCATGTATAAATGATTGCTCATGTAAATTTGATTTATTATGCTGTAAATCTGACGTCCTTTGGCGACCATATTCCTTAGAGTTAAAACAATAGAATGTTTTGATGTAACGTCATAATGAAATAGGGCAATTCACTCATAGGGACTATATCGCCAATTATAGTTCAACAACAATTATTCCTCTGCTCTCATCGGTGGAGAGTTGACCACGTGGTACACTTGGAAGAGTCCATTAAGTGCACAAGGATGAATGGTTCTTTGATTAGAAATTGCTTTCTTTTTTAGTGCATCGGACCGTATTGGCAGCTGGGAAACAAATCTGCCACACAATCCTTTGAGGTGGTGACGTCAGTCCAGTTCATTGACGTGTCAACAACACCTGAGACATTGCTGAAGCCAACACCCACATTTGAAGCTAAAGCGCCTTCAGATTTCTTTTACCCTTTCCTATAGCAGGATAAAGTTACCTACCGTGGGTGTGGTCTCTGGAGATCGTTGTTGGAACAGTACCGACATCAGTGCAGTCATAGGATTTCTGTTATACACCTATTTCAAAAAACGTTCCAGGACACAGTCCACTGTCTTGAGCCTGCAAAGAGTCTCGGGATTTACATGCACAATTAATATATTCAAAATATATTTGCCAATTTGGTTTGAATTCGATGGCGGTAAACACTACTAATATACTATTTCGGGTATTTAAACCCATCAAAGTCTCGGCATCGGACATTTTTCTTGAAAATGGTTTCTCGTTTTCAAACCGTCAGTGAGCTTCAAAGCTTTATTCACGAAAAATACCACACAGGAACTGGTGTTGGAAATTATTCATTTGTATTGGGATATTATGAGGAACCGAATAATCACCGTTGCACTATGCTAATCGAAGTACATCTTGGCGAGGCTATTGAAAAACTGTAATATATAATTATTTATAAATGGCAATCCCGAGATCATTTGCAGGCTTAAGCGTGGACTGTGTCCTGGCGATGACAACTTTTTTGAATTAGATGTATATTCCAGTGCAACCTTTCTTCTTTCCTTCGAAAATGCTTGACAGTAATAAGGATACGGTTTGAACTAGACACTTTGTTTCCTATTGAGATCGTTGTTGCGTCTATAAATAGGTTGRCGTTTTAGCTAAATTGCATAAACAAATCGAATTTTAAGCCACAAGAAATTCAAGCCCATGAATGAAAAGATCTCATACCTGTTAGCAATTCCTGAAAATTTGAAGTCAATTTGTGACATATTTTAAGAGATATCAAGCGACGAATTTGCAAGATTTTTTCARAAATGACCGTGKTGGGYATAATGTTTCCAWTCAYTGRATGTTTTCTATAGATTYTGTAATTTGGAAATTCMGATAACTCGAAAAGGCGTTTGCCCTAAAAATTTTGAGCTTTTGCTGAGAGTAATATTATCTTGAATTGTATGAGTTCAGATTGGTTATTTTTTGAATTTGATATTTTKGCATCATCGGATGATGTAAACAAACTATACGYCATTGGGCACATCCTGTTTAGCGTCGAAACGAAAGATACTGTAAAAAAAAGAACTTCCAATAGATTTCTGAACATTTTACGTCAATGCTTGATTTTCAATGCATTGTGGGATAAGAAAAGAAATCCGCCATGTTTTGTCCCAWACRTTTCCCACAATGCATTGCGTAAAAGGYACATGACGTAAAAGCTTGAGAGGTCCATATCAAACAATTATTTATATCAGGGTTTCAGATTGYAAGCCTGGCTCGTGCATTTTTATTATTCTTGTAAATACTGTACATTCAATCATTCATGGTGTATTGTGATAAAGACGTTTACAGCAAGACTGTTYTAGCAAAGCTAATAAAAAGCTACTAATAGAAAGTTTTTGTTCTGTTCATTGAAATTTCAATTTTGTCTACTAAGATTCTCTACTATAAAATAGTTTACGGTTCACAGTGCCATTTTGAAAGGTAGCCTTGTTTTTGCATCGAAGCGAGATGACCTTTGAGCGTGCAATGATAGATACCTGTGAACAATACACCTTTTTCCCATTCAAAGCGAACAACAGCAGCTACTCTCATGCGCAGAGAACTTACCAAAAACAAAAGAAAACAAGAAAAACGTTTGTCATTTATACAATAGTACCACAAATTTGCGTTTTCTCCGATTTGAGCACCTGTGGCTATACAAATCGTAGAAGATTCAAATTTCTAGAGCTATTGTAATGTCAACATTTTTTCGTGCTTTCCTTTGTTCTCTACGCAAGTGAATCTGTTGTCTAATAAGAACAGCGGTCGCTCGCATTGAACTAGAAAAAGGCTTATTGTCTGTAGATGTGAAAGAAGGTTTCTAYCATTGCACACTCGTCCTGCTTCGATGCAGAAACAAGGCTATCCTTCACATGAGATGGCTCATTTCATGCAATAGATGAAAGACGAAAAGAAAAAATCTACCCCCTCCACCTTAATGTGATTTCAGTTAATACACACCATACATGTAGACATCAGCACAAGTTGTACCGTTATTATCATGGTCGGAACCATTTTGTAAATCTTCGCCGTACCATAAGCGATACTCTTGACCAGCGGTTACGCTGATAGGCTTAACCAAGTCCAG